TCGCGGGGGCCCTTGCGGGACGCGCCCTGCCATTCTGACACGCGTGTCCCGGGGCCACGAGCACAGCGCTCCGCGTCGCCGGTTCAGAAGACAGGAATGTGCGCGTCGTTGGGAAACGCTGCGCGCCGCAGAGCAGCCGGGCTCCCGCGGGGCGGGCCTCGGCCTCGGCCTCGCGCACCCGGAAGAGCGCGCGAAGGGCAGGCCCACCCGCCGTCCCCGGCCCTGAGCTCGCCCTTCTCGCTGCGCCCCTGCAGGTGCGCTCGATGACTTCGAGAAGGCCAAGCCGGCCGCCCCGGCCCCCGCGCCCAGCGCCGGGCGGGGCGGCGGCGGCGGCGGCGCCGAGAAGCCGCCTGGCGAGGCGGCCAAGGTAGGAGCCGAGCAGCGCCGCGCGGGCCTCCCCGTGCCTTGCGGGGAGGGAGAGGGCAGGCTCCCGGGCGCGCCGCTGGTCTGGCCCTGCAGGGGCCCGGGGGCCGACGGAGACCCTGCGTCAGCCCCGCCGGCCGAGCGGCGAATCGCTCCGGCCCGTAGCCGCGGTCCGTGCCCGGGCGTCGCGGCGAGGGCCGGGGCCTTGAGGGAGCGCGGGGCCTCCGCCTGCTCCTCTGCCGAGCAAGCGCCGGTCCAGGCGAGGGGTCGGATCGCTGCCCCGCCGCCTCTCCGCGTCCCTGCGCGGCGTCCGTCCCCGCGCCTGGCCCCCTGATACTACAGGAGGACGTGGAGCGAGGTTGAACTGGGGCGGGAGGCCTTGGGGATGCTCTCCTAAGCTGAGGAAGCGCGAGCCCAGCAAGCGGCTTGTGCTGGCTGGCTGGCTGGCTGGCTGGCAGGCAGGGGAAGGTTTCGGCTCCCTGCTCTTGGGGTCGCTCCGACGGGCGGGCTGACCTGGAGCCAAGGGCGGCCGCTCAACTGAGCAGCAACTCCCCCTCTTCCTCTCCAGGAGTCGCTCTTTGCCTCGCAGGAGAAGTTCTTCCAGGACCTCTTCGACAGCGAGCTGGCCTCGCAGGCCACCGCCGAGTTCGAGAAGGCCATGAAGGAGCTGGCTGAGGAGGAGCCGCACCTGGTGGAGCAGTTCCAGAAGCTCTCGGAGGCAGCCGGCCGAGTCGGTGAGGGGCTGGTGGGGCAGAAGGGCTGCCCGTGGGAAGGCCCCGGGGCTTCTGTTGCTGCTCCCCCGGCTGCGGGCCCGGCTGCCCTCTTGCTTGCCGGGCTTCAGGGGCAGTGCGGACACGGCGTGGCTCTGGGAGGGAAGCCTCTGTGCTTGCCGCTGACGAGCCTGGGGTCGCGCCGGGTGTTCACCGCCGGCACGTGGCTGCCTTTCTCACTGGCTGTCCCCTCACCTCTGCAGGAAGCGACCCCGGCTCCCAGCAGGAGTTCACGTCCTGCTTGAAGGAGACGCTCAGCGGCTTGGCAAAGAACGCCAATGACTTGCAGGTGAGCCCCTGCCGGCACGGGCAGTGGTGTGGGGGCTGGGGAGGTGGCCCAATCGAAGCCCCCGAGCTTGTCCAGATTGCCCACCCCCTTTCCCTGAACCGGGTCGGTTTCGGAGAAATCTGGCTTTCGCCGTCTTCCCCTCCTGGCAGCCGGAAGTGCTCCCCAGAGGCTCAGCTGCCCTAAGCCACAGCATGCTGGTGTTTGGGGAGCATCCGCCACTGAACTGCAGCCCTGGAGAGCCTCTCTGGGGCCAAGGGAGGGTGGGGACCCTGGGCTGAGAGGCCACTGCCTGGCCCCGGGAACTCCCTCCGGGCCCCAAGGGGTCCCAGCCCTCCTCCTCCCCCTTTCTGGCTCCGTGCAGAGAGGCTGAGCTGCCCGCTCAAAAAGCATCAGGTGGGATTGGGCAGCTCCCAGCAGCCTCGCCAAGCGGGGGCGGGGGGCGGGGGGCAGCAGAGTCGCCATCCTGCCACCCCCAGGGGCCCACGCTCCGACTCTCCCTGCCGCTGCTGCACCTGGAGTGGGGCTGGAGTGGGCAGCCCAAGGCCCAGCTGCACCTGTGGCTGCCCCGGGGAGCAGGCTCGGGGGCTGGCGCGGGCCGAGGGTCTCCTGCATGCGGCTTCCCTGCCTGATGAGCGGGGCTGCCCTTTCCCTGCTGCAGAACTCCGGCGTGCCTGAGGAGGAGCTGGCGAGAGCCATGGAGGGCCTGGGCCTGGAGGAGGGCGAGGGCGACGGCAGCCTCCTGCCCCTCATGCAGAGCATCATGCAGAACCTGCTCTCCAAGGACGTGCTCTACCCGTCCCTCAAGGAGATCGCCGAGAAGGCGAGTGCGCCCCCAGGCTGTGCCCGGCCGCCGTCCCGCCACGTGGAGCGGTGGGGGGCCTCCTCCGGGAGCGTGTGCTCCGGGCACTTCCTGGAGGATGCGGAGCTGGAAAAGCTGCAAAGAGGCCCCCGCAAATGGCCGGGGGGTGGAGTGGCCGCCCTGCCAGGCACAAGGCAGCTGGCCCTGTCTCGGGGGGCGTCTCTTCCCGCCGCCTCACCTTTGGCGTCCCCCTTCCCCCTCCAGTATCCGGAGTGGCTGCGCAGCCACCGGGACTCCCTGCCCCAAGATCAGTACGAGAAGTACCAGGAGCAGCACAGCATCATGGGCAAAATCTGCGCCCAGTTTGAGGCCGAGCGGCCCACGGATGGTGACGCGGAGCAGAGGGCCCGCTTCGAGCTGGTCCTGGACCTGATGCAGCAGGTGAGCCGGGCCGGTCCCAGAGGGCACCTCGCCTGTCAGCTGCTCGTGGGCTTGTGCGCAGCCCTTCTGTCCTGGGCAGAGTATAACTCCGGAGCAACCTTCTGTTCTGACCGGAGAAAGAGCTCTGTCACAGCTCAAATGACCTTGACCATTGGTCTGTGCTGATGCCGCTCTTTTCTGACTGCCTTCCAGCTCCAGGACCTGGGACACCCGCCAAAGGAACTGGCTGGAGAATCGGTAGGTCAGCCGTTGGGCTCTTCGTCCCCAGCCCGGCAGGGCCGTTAGCTTTGAGCCTCGGGAAAAAGACAGAGCTGCCTCCCTGCTGGCAGGCTGGAAGTGCCCCCCAAGCCCCCCAAAGGGGCAAGTCTTGCCCCGCATTAAAGGAAGAGGCACAGCTGCTGGCAGAAGCTTGGCAGGCGTCCTCTCGCTCGGCATTCTGCGTGGCTGCCTTGGACAAAGACCGCAGCCCTTCCCAGGCCTCGTGGCTCACTGAGCCAGACGTGCGCTGGACCGATCGACGCCGTTCATCCCCCAGAGCAAACTCAGCCGCTTTGACCGAGCGCCTGGCGCTGGTCATGGCAGACAAACAAGATGGAAAGGCCCGTCACGTAATCCAGGCATCCTGAAGATGAAAGGCGGGGAGACGTGCCGGGCGCCATTTTTGCCCGATCTGTGCCCTCAGCAGCACGGATTGTGGGTCTGGGGCCGAGTGCAGATGCCGTCCTGCTCCCGGCAGCCCTGCTTGAGCTCCTGGGGCTCTCCGCGGCCCGGCGGACCTGGACGCAGCCTTTGCGCCTGCCGAGTGCCCCCCCGCCAGCGCCGCTCTGCACGCCAGCAGCAGGAGTCCCCCGGGGGGCTGCCCTCTCCACCTGCTTGCTCACCCCCCCCCTTTCTTCCACATCCAGCCGCCCAGCCTGAACTTCGACCTGGAGGGCCTGAATCTGCCCGAGGCTGCCAGCACCACCGGAGAGCAGTGCCGGATCATGTGAGCAGCCCCCCCCCCACAACAAGCAGGCGGAAAGGAGCACGGTGGCGGCGGCCAGGCGGGAGCTGCTGCGGGTGACATCTCGTTTGCGTTTCCTTCTGTCGCCGGGTGCCTCCCGGGGATCGAACTGACTCTGTTGGTGCAGGGTGTGGGGCGCTGCAGAACCCAGGCGTGAGCGGGGGGAGCCGTGGGCCTGCAGCTGTCCGCCCTCGAGGCCCTGCCTCTGCCACTGTCCCCGGATGCCTTGGAGGGTGTTGCAGGGCTCGGTGGACCAGGAGGCCACATGGGACTTGGGCAGATCAGGCTCGGCTGGGCTTGGGACTGCCGCGTGGCCTGTGAAGGGGCAAGCCAGGTGAGAGGGCCGCCGACTGGCAGCGGAGAGGAGGAGGAGGAAATGCAACTCCCCTGTGCTAGCGGTGGGTCTGTAGTTTGGGTCGCATCGGGTCTGGGGGTCTTGGGGTGGGAGGGTGTTCTGCTGCCCTGCTTCTGGTGCTGCTGCTGCTGTTTGTACTCTGGCTGTGCCCCTCGGTTTGGAAACCTGCAGCTCAGTGGGCCCAGGACCAGAATCCCTTCTGCACCTGACACTTGAAAGGGCCTTGAAGCAGTGGCAAGAAATCGGTTACTTGTGGGTGCTGCTGAGACGCCGTCGCAGTGCGAGCTGCCCAGCTCCGCGCCCCTGCCTTCCGTTGTTCCGACCCAGCGCAGCACTCGCTGCCGTTTGGGTACACCTCCCCCGCTCTTAATTAACCGCCTCGTCCCACCCTGCCGTCACTGCTTTAACACTGCTCCCTTCTTGACCTCCCTGCGCCAAGAGGTGGGGGGGGGGGAAGCTGCTTCCACCCTCTGAGCAGTGTGGGGTGCCTTGGAAGATGCGCACAGAGGCAGCCAGATGACGGCTCATCTCAGCCAGCGCTGCAGGGGAGGGAGGCTGAGTTCAGTGGTGGGTTTCTTGCTCCTTTCCTGGTTGGAACTGGCAGAGCTTTCTGGGTGTTTTGCTAGGGCTACTTATTCAAATAAAGGTGGAAGTTGATCCTTAGACATCTGTCTGTCCTTTACTTGACTGACACCGGGATTTTGCACGGAGTCTTCCTGGTAGGGTTTCATCCATAGCCTTGGTTGTAATCCGAGGCACGTGTGCAGGGAAGCAAGCAAATCCACAGGTCCCGGTGGACTCAAAGCAGCTCGCTTGGAAGTAAACAAACCAAGGAGTTCTCTGTCGAGCTGTCATGACCCTCTCCTGAGCCACTTCTGAGTGAATTGTTGGCTCGTGTATCTTTGAGAACTCAAAGCAAGCTCCCGATGGCATGGGCTGCTCCTGGGTGTTGGCAGAAGTTTGTCTGGCGCCCGTAGAGGAAATCTGCTTCCCTTTCCTGCATCAGAAGGCTGAAAGCTGGTAACTCATGCTCCCAATCTGAGCACTACTTTTAGGTACCTTATCCATAAGTGACATTTAATTGGTTCAGGAATGCAGCTCTCAAAAGAGTTTTGTTTTTGGTAATAAAAGTTACATTTTAAAAAGTGAGACGGGCCGGGGGTAACAGACGGTGTGCACACCCTCAGAGCCCTCCTTTTCCTGGATGAGAGTTGGTTAAGAAAGAGCTCCAAGAGACGGCAATACGAGGTGTGCCCAGATATGTCACATCATGCTCCCATTTGACAACTGCTGCTGATCTGTGAGCCATGCCGAGGGGCAGCAGCCCCCTTGGGCTACGGCGGCGAAAGCACAGACCCTCGTGAAGGGAGCATTTCTTGTTTGGCTGGAGTGGCACCCGTGACCTGGCCTCCGAGGCATCACAAGACCTTTTAAGCCGCCCAACAGAGCCGATTCCCTGACTGGCACTTCGGGAAGCCAGAAGATGCAAGGAAACAGCCGAGTGGCACAGAGGAAAGCGAAGGGAGAGGATGTGTCGTGTGTGTGGAGCCTCGATTACCATAACTGCTAGTTTCCCGCTAGAAGGGGGGGACCGCACAAGCTCGCTGGAGGTCCCGGGGGTGCCGCTCTGCACGCGCGTCTCGGTGCCCGGCGCCCTTCCCCGGGGACGGAAGTGCCGCCGCTCTCCTCCTCGGCCGGTCCCCGGGCGGAAGTGTCGCAAAGCGGGCCGGTGGCGGGGCCCGTAAAGTGCGGCTGCCGGAAGAGCGGTGACGGCCGCGGAAGGGGACGGGCGCGGTTGGCCGATAAAATGGCAGCGCCGGCCCGGCCAGAAGCGGGCGACGCCGCCGCCGGGAGAAGCGGCGGGGCCGGGGCCGGGGCCGGAGGCGGAGGCGGAGGCGCGGGCAGAGGGGCGGCCTCCCGAGGTAGCGTCGCCGGGGGCGGGGCCTGCAGGCCGCACTCCGGGCACGGGTGGGCCGGGTCGGGCTGGCCGACCGGCGGGGCCCCGGCGCAGGCCCGGCCGGCCTCGCGGGCGCCCTCACGGCTCCTCCGGGGCCCCGGCTGGCCCGGCAGCCTCAGCAGCGCAGCCCTGGGCCGGGGCTGCCGCCCGCCGCCCGCAGGGGCCCAACGGATCCTGCGAGGCTCGGAGCTCCCGCCAGGCCGCGCCGCAGCCCTGCCGCTTGGGGCTGGCGCCCGGAGCGAGTCCGGCGAGGCGCCGCGGCGGCGGCGACGCGGCGGCGCGAGCGAGGAGGAGGAGGAGGAAGGTGCTCCTCCTCCTCCTCTTTCTCCTCTCCCCTCATCCGCCACCGCGGACGTGTGTTGGCAGGCAGGCAGGCAGAGAGATGGGAGGATAACCTTTGTGTTACCGTATGCAATCTCACGCGCTTTTCCGGTGGAGGGCAAGCCCCCCATTCTCTTCTCCAGACAAGTAGACAGTGAGAGAAAACGAAAAAGTGGGCACTGCACTTCTCTCTGTGTGCAAAAGATCTCAAGAGCGAGATCAACAGATAAAGAAATACAGGCCAGGTTATTTTTAAAGTTCCCAACAGCACTTCAGGCGGGTGTATTCGGGATTTCAGAAGGATGCAGTCGAACCACTAGTGACTGACAAAAGAGCAAACTCTTGAAAACAAAATGTTTCCACCATCACCTTGTTCAGTTGTTGTGTTACAAATGTATCAGAGAAACTGAGGAGAGCAGAAATGGAAATGTTTTGGTTTAAGATTCAATTTATCTTTTTTTAGTTATTGCATGAATGTGCGCTTGTGTGCATGCATGTGGAAAACCTATATGTGTGCATGCGTGCGTGCACTAAATTAAGAGAGCTGTTCATTTGATGCTTTTATAATAGCAGCGAATAACGATAAACTTGCAATGGCTTGCATAATCAAGTTTGTTATTCTATACATACTTATCTTACTTATCTGGAGTAAGTTCTATTAAGAAACAGTGGAACCTACATCTAACATAGCACATAATATACAAAGATGTCCAATATTGGATCCCAAACAGTTTGTGGGTTTTACCAACATATTTGCAAACTATCATTATTTTAGACTGTTGCAGTAACCTTGCTAATGCACATCAACAGTGACCCTTCTCCAGTTACTCACCTGGCAACCGTTTTTGCTCACCACAAATAAATAGAGCAACTGTTCCCAGGCTGATCCATTTTCTCCAGTGCTGGAACTAAAGAAGTCTTGAGTGCAGACCTGGAGTCTCTAGGGGAGCAAAATTAAGTGTCCCCAGCAAACCATCCAACTTAAATTCTGTCTTTTGTTTCCCCACTCAGTTTGACAGCGGTTCCATAGCACCAGTTCCTAGATATTCCTGGATTTACACTGATACAAGAGGGGGCGGGAAAGGTGAGTGTCTCAGACATCATTAGTATCTGCTTAAGATCGTGGGGAAGTAAAGAACCGCTGAGTGATGGATCCTCTGAGGGTGCAGCGTCCTACTAATCTTGAAGTAATTTTTTTCAACCAACTATTTCACAGACTAGGAATATTAGTCCCACAACTAGTTATTTTGATCCTGTGTTCCTATCTTGTGCAAAATGCAAGTTTTATCTTAAAAGATGGTATGGCCTTGATCAAGCGGGGGCCAAGCCATAGACGGGACTGAGGCCAAGTAGCTCACTTATCACCACATGTTGCTCACGATTGCCATGTAGACAAGGGTCATGCATTTTGGCCGGAGGTCTGCTCTGAACCGTTTTCATGGGTGGGGAAGACACAGTGTCAGTCATGAAGTTACGCCTCCAGAAATGAATGCCAGCTTATGCATGTGGTGATTTAGCCCTCACCACGAACTTCTGGGCACAAGACGCTGCCCCCACATGCCCCTTTATGAATCTGGAAATTGTGCATCCCGGTTGCACGAGCCTGCTCTTCAGAATGCAGCGCGACGTACTGCCAGTGGCCTGTACCACACATTTAGGAACGGCGTGCCTGGGGTTTCGCACTGAGTTTTTTCCCAGGAAACCTCCAAGCCCAGACTTTTCTGGCTGCCTCAGTATGGATAGGAGCACAGGATGGTTGTGGGGAAAAGGTGGGCATTCAGGCACGGTAATCTCTGGGTCGATTCTCCCAGTTGTGGGATGGGACACCTTTGGGGGGGATTCTGGGCCTTGGGTGCGGAGGATGGTGTCCTGTTCGGGGTTGCCGCGAATTTTAGCCTCTGGGCCTTTGGGATGGAGTGGCCCCATGAACCAGCGGCTTGTCTCTCGATTTGGGTGTTGGGCACCTCTTCCACCCCCCAGCCCCCACCCAAAGCTCAGGCCCAGGCATGGTTCCGATTCTGCACGGGGCAGAGCTTGCCTCTCGCTGCAGCAGGCTCTAGTGCCGCCCTTCTTCCTCCCCTCCTGCGCAGGCCACGCGGCTCACTCCCTCTCTGGCTTCCCTCAGCAGCCAGGAGTAACCTGGCAGGGCCACCCTCCTCCCCCCGCCTCCCCTTATCTGCTTATGGCCGTCTCTCTGGGGCTTGGCCGGGATGCCTCCTCACCTCGGCTGGGCAGCCATGGAGCCAGCACTCGAATCACTTGCTGGATGATGAGTTGCTGCGCTTTCCCTTCATACCCTTCCCCGCTGCAGTTTTTTCGGGGGGGGGGGTCTTTGGGATGGTCCTTCCTGGCCCCTCCCTTGAGTGGCTCCCCATTGGCGAAACCCAGCTTTCCCATGCTCACAGTGCTGTCTGTTCCCTGATCTCATCCTCTCACAAAGGAAAAGGGAGGGACAAAGGAGAGCTGCTGACTGGAATCCCATGTTGTTCTGGTTGTGGTTGCAAGGCCTTCCCACCCGCTTCTGATACTGTGGCTTCGGGGGAGCGTTCGAGGGGAGGTGGCCAGGGCAAGGGTGCTCCCTTTAGGGTGCGTGCCAGAGCGGGAATGGTGGAGCCCCGGCCTTCAGGGGATCGGGGCTGGTTGGCCGGCCTCTCGCTGTCTGGCTGGATGGTTTACACTGGGCCAGAGGACCCTCCTGATAAGCTGGTCTCTGCACAACGGGCCCTTCCTTCGAGGCTTCTGTCTTTTTAGAAAGTCATAGTCTCTTATTTAACTCTGTGGAAAGCCACAAGTAGTACGGAACATTCCCCCTCGAAAGCATCCGGGGCAGGAGTGCCATGTCCCTGGAAACCAGAGACGGAAGTGTTCAGCTACTGCCTGCAAACTTCTTACTTTCTCTTTCCCCAAATCTTGCAGGGCAAATTCACAAGGAAACAAGATGTCCGACACAGGGAGTAGCACAGATGGGAATACAGATATACCCAACGGTAAGAGGAGCGGGAGGAAGGGCCCCTGGCGGAGCTGTGCTGCTGCCCTCGTGGGCAACGCTGGGAGACTGGGAGGCTTTGGCGGGGGCTGGGCTCCAGCCGCGGGGGCTCCGGCCCCGGCTCCTCAGGGTGACGGGCTGGCCCGGGGCCTGCCTGGGGCCTCAGCCGTTGCTCCTCCTGACAGGGAGCTTGTCCAGCAGCCCCGAGGAGATGTCCGGGGCCACCGAAGGGCGGGAGACGTCCTCCGGGGTGGAGGTGGAGGCATCGGACCTGAGCCCGAGCCTCACCGGCGACGAAGTGGGGCCTGACCGTGTGTACACAGAGAGCTCCGCGGAAGAGAGGGACTCGGACAGCCTGGACAACTCGAGCCCCTACATCTTCACCCGGCTGAACCGGACCTACAACGTCTCCCACTGGGAGGACGAGGAGGAGGAGGAGCCGGAGGAGCCAGAGGAGCCGGAGGCCGAGGTGCAGCACCCCCGCCAGCGGGCCCAGCGCAAGCGCACCAACCGGGACCGGGACTCTTCGGACGAGGAGCAGGCCCTGGAGGACTGGGTGGCCTCGGAGACCTCGGCGCTGCCGCGGAGCCGCTGGCGGGCCCTGCAGGCCCTCCGCGAGCGGACGCTGGGCTCCAGCGCCCACTTCATCCATGAGGCCTGCGGCGCCCGCGTCTTCGTGCAGCGCCTGTGCCTGCAGTACGGCCTGGAGGGCCACAGCGGCTGCGTCAACACCTTGCACTTCAACCAGCGCGGCACGTGGCTGGCGAGCGGCAGCGACGACCTGAAGGTGCTGGTCTGGGACTGGGTGCGCCGGCAGCCCGTGCTGCAGTTCGAGAGCGGCCACAAGAGCAACGTCTTCCAGGTGAGGCCGGCACGTGGGCCTCGCCGCCGCTGGGCGGGCCGGCGGGTGTGGGGGGCCGGCGGGGCTCTCCCGCCCCCGGCAACCCCCGCTGCCCTTCTCCCGCCCCCAGGCCAAGTTCCTCCCGAACAGCGGGGACTCGACCCTCGCCACCTGTGCGCGTGACGGCCAGGTCCGCGTCGCCGAGCTCTCCGCCACGCAGTGCTGCAAGACTACCAAGCGGGTGGCCCAGCACAAGAGCTCCGCACACAAGGTGAGCGCTGCGGCGCGGGGGTCCTGCTGCGGGAGCGAGATCCCCGGGGGGCGGGGGGCCCGTGGGGCAAAGGAGCCAAGCGGAGAGGGGCGTGATTCGCCTGGCGCCCACTGCTGGACTTGAACGTGGGGAGCCTCCGTGGCTCCGGTCCGGCCTGCTTCCGAGGAAGTGAGGGAACGATGGTCGGGTGTGCGGGTGATGCAGAGCTGTGAGCACAGCCTCTCCCCTGGGAGACAGAAAGAAGGTTCAGGGGTCTCTTGGTGGGCCAGAGAGCTGGGCTCAAAGCAGAATGTCGTTCAGCAGAAGCAAATGCCGATTTCTGTGACCAGGAAAAAGGAACCTAACGTGGCGTTACAGTATGGGGCATACGTGGCTCAGCAGTGCCACAACCGAGGAGGATCTGGGCATTGTCATGGGTCATAAGCTGAACGTGAGTCAGCAACGCGGCGCAGCCGCAAAAACAGCAAATGCTACTTCAGGCGGCATTAAGAGAAGTATCACTTCCAGATCCCACGCAGTGCTAGTTCCCCTTTACGCAGCTCTGGTCAGGCCGCCTCTGGAGTGTTGTCTCCGGTTCTGGGCACCAGAGTTGCAGAAAGACGCAGGCGAGCTGGAGGCGCTTCAGAGGAGGGCAGCAAGGATGGGGACGAATCCGTGTGAGGAGAGACGGAAAGAACTGGGCAGGTTTAGCTTGGAGAAGAAAAGAATGAGGGGAGAGAAGAGCGCACTCGACCAGTCCTTGTCGTAGCGAGGAGGGCCAGGCTCACTTGATCATCCCCGAGGGCAGGGCATCACGGGCTCATTCAGGAAGCCAGACTCCAGCTGGACCTCGGGAAGGACTTCTGACTGTTAGAGCAGAAGGGAATAGGCCCCATTGCCAAGGGAGGTTGTGGGCTCTCCCACACCGGAGGTGTCCAAGAAGCACCTGGACAGCCGTCGGAGGGGGATGGTTCAGCGTGGTGTCCAGCGCTGAGCAGGGTAATGGGCCCGATGGCCTTCTGGCCCCTTCCAGCTCCACTGTTCTGTGATTCGAGTCCCTGACAACGCGTCCAGGCAGGGTCGGGGAAAGCCATCCTGCACCCTTGGGCAGCCGTGGCCGCCCTCTACGTGGACTACCACAAGCTGCGGGGAGGCGGCATGGGTCCCCGAGGTCTTGGCAGAGCTCCTGGGTGATGGCTGCCAGCCCCGGGCAAAAGGACTCTGCCTGGCCTCTGCCGTTCATCCCTCTTGGCTCCTGGGCCTGCTCGGGCTTGGCTGAGCTGGAGACCTGCTAGCTTCCTGCTGGGGACGGTTGCCTGGGCCACCACGGGGCTCCCGCCTGGGCCACTGCGGGGTGCTGCTGCCGAGGCGAGCCGTTCTCGGGGGCTGGTGGGGCGGGCGGCCTCTTGTAACGTCCCCGTAACTGCGCGCCTTTCTGCCCCAGCTGGCCCTCGAGCCGGACTCGCCCTGCACTTTCCTCTCGGCCGGCGAAGATGCTGTCGTCTTCACCATCGACCTGAGACAAGACCGGCCAGCTTCGTAAGTGTGGCGTCTGCAGGCGCCGGAGGCCCCTGCCCTGCCCTGCCCAAGTGCCTGGGCTCAGCCATGGGCCCCTGGGCAGGAGGCTGCAGCGACCACCCTTGGGCTGGGGCGGTTGCAGTCAGTCGGCGGGGCAGGAACCGGGGCGTCCCTCCCGCCCTTTCCTGGCTTCCCTGGTGTAGTTGAGACGATGGAAGGCTGCCGCCGATTTGTCCGGTGCCCTCCAAAGCGCGGCATGACTGGTGAAGGGCCCTCCTGGCTTGGGACTCAGCTTCTGGAGCGCTGCAGAGCGGCTGTCTCCCTGCGGTGCGCCCTCGGCCTCCCCGCAGCTGGGGGGGGGGGGGCAGAGCAGGGCCCTGTGGCGAGGCTGCCCGGCCTCTCCCCAGGGTGGGGCTTGGCCGGAGAGGCCCGGCTCCGGGAGGCTGGGCCCAGAGTCTCCCAGGAGGGCTGCCCTCCCCCAGGGAGGAGGAAGCATTTTTCATCCCGTGGGGGAGTCAAGCCCGCCTCCCCCTCCTGCCCTCTCCTCCTCACGCTTTTGCCGTTCTAGGAAGCTGGTTGTGACGAAGGAGAAGGGGAAGAAGGTTGGCCTCTACACCATCTATGTGAACCCAGCCAACACCCACCACTTCGCCGTGGGGGGCAGGGATGAGTACGTCAGGTGAGCTGGAGCGGCGTGCAGCCAGGAGGCCGCCGGGAGGGGCCCTGGGCAGCCCGCTTCCGGAGTGTCCGGCGGGGGCCGCCTCCGGGATCCTGAACCCGCTCGGGCTGAGGCCGGCCGACGGGGCCGGGATTGCCTTCAGGGCTGAGGGTGGAGCTGCCGGAAGCCCACCGCTGCCCCTGGGGCAGGAGGCTGCCCGGCCAGGTGCCGGGAGCCCCGCCGTGGCCTGCTGCCCACAGGCCTTTGGCCCCTCCTCGGCCTCCCTGCCAGAGGGGGCAGCAGGCTGCAGGAGCACAGGCCCTTGCGCTGGGCCCGCGTCTTGTTGGCAGCGGCTCCCCGGAGAGGCACGTGCTCCGGAGCGCACGGGGGCCGTTTGCACGGCTGGGGGGTCCTGGAGCAGCGCACACCTTGTCCTTCCTCGCCCGCTGCCCAGGATCTACGATCAGCGGAAGATCGACGAGAATGAGAACGACGGCGTGCTGAAGAAGTTCTACCCCCACCACCTGGTAGGAGCGGCTCTCACTCTGTCTCGCTTCTCCCAGGACAGGGCGGGATCTCCGGGCACGGGGCATTCAGGGCTGTGGGGCGGGGCGAGGCCTCGGCCTCCTTGCCTGTGAAGCGAGCGCAGCAGCCTCCGGCCAGGGCAGGGCGGCCAGGCAGCCCCCTGGCGGGCTGCACCTCCTGTCGCAGAGTGGCCTTCGCTGGGCTGCAGGAGGGCGTGCAGCCGGCCCTTGCCCGGCGGGGGGGAGGAGGATGGCTGGCCCTGCCCCCCACGGAGCTCGTGCCTCGGCGCCGGCCCCCTGCTCTGCGCCAGGGGGCCTCGGGCATCCCGGGAGGGCGGCTCGGCCGTGGACGGCTCTTCCAAGGGCGAGCGCGCAGCTGGCCGGCTCGCCCATGTGCCCGGCTGCCAGCTCTCCGTGGGACAACGCCCGGGTTGGCGAGGCGCTGGGAAGCTCTCCGGGGTGCTGCGGGGAGGGGCCACCGTGGCTCCCCCAGCGGTGCCCGCGGCAGCCCTGCCCAGGGCCTTGCGCCTCCGCCTCTGCACAGCGGGCCCTCGGGAGCGAGGCGGCCCGCCTAGATCTCTGCCTGCTGGCTCTTCCTAGGCAAACAGCGAGCTGAAAGCCAACGTCACTTGCCTCGTCTACAGCCACAACGGCTCCGGTACGTCCTGGCCTCTTCCTCGGGGGGGGCGCCTTCTGAGCCGGGTGCCTCCTTACCTGGGCGCCCGCACCCCCGTGGCATGCCAGGGTGGCCCGGAGAGGAGTGCATGAGGCCTGCAGGGCCTCGGGCTGAGGAAGCCCTTGCCAGCACTGTCTTTTCAGCCCCCTGCCTGCCTGCCTGCCAGCATTCCTGGAATGGGGTGGGGTGCTGATTCCCCCCAGGGGCTGGTGGGGCCCCCGAGCCCAGCCGCCACCTCTGGCCTGCCTTGATGCTCTGGCGTGTGGGTTGCAGAACTCCTGGCCAGCTACAACGATGAAGACATCTACCTGTTCGACACGTCCCACAGCGACGGAGCAGAGTACATCAAGAGATACAAGGGGCACCGTAACAGCGCCACAGGTGCCTTGCCCCCCCCCCGTGTGGGGCGTGGGTTCCCCAGGCTCGCGGGTGGGCAGCCCCCATGCAGGCCCCCCTCCCCTGAGCCATGCGGGAGCCGTCTCTGCAGAGGAGCTGCCAGGCGCTTCCTGGGCCGCCATTTCTCGTGGTTCCTGCTCGGGGTGGAGGGCAGGCTGGGAGGGCTCCCCGGGCCGCAGACTTTGGGCTGTGTTGTGCTCTGCGTGCCCCCAAGCGATGAGGAGAAGAGTGCAGCCCCCCGTCTCCGCCTGGATTGCTCAGGGGGCTCAGCAGCACTTGCAAATCAGCTTGGTGCAGTCCCCGCCTCGCCACTTGCCTTCGCTACTCAGGGCGCGAAAAGCCGTGGACTTTAAATGCCTGTCCAAAGGGAAGGTGCCATGCCTCGAGCCGGGGTCGCCCGCGGGTGGTCCGGCTCCTTGTCTGCACCCCTCAGGGCCCCTCAGAAGCTGGGCACTGGCCTGGCCTCGTGCGGGCTGGGAGCGGCGGCTCCCGCACTCGCCCCGCATGCCCTGAACCCGCCCCGCTCGCTTCTTCCAGTGAAGGGAGTCAACTTCTACGGCCCCAAGAGCGAGTTCGTGGTCAGTGGCAGCGACTGTGGCCACATCTTCCTGTGGGAGAAGGCGTCCTGCCAAATCGTGCAGTTCATGGATGGCGACGCGGGCGGAGTGGTGAGGCGGCTCTCTTGGCGGGGGCACTTCAGCAGGGGGGTGGTGCGATCCAGAGCTGATGGGCAGGTGCCGTGGGGGCCGGGGGGTGCAATGCCAGCCCTGCCGGTCACGACCGTCCCGCTTTGATCTGCCCGCCACGGGGCGGTCTCTCTCCTGCGCGGACGTGCGCGGCAGTGGCCGAAAGGCCGGGCGCATCTGCGGGGAGTCGTCTCCACTCCCAGCTGCTCCGGCTCCCTGCCTTGCCCGAGGCTTAGCGGGGCAGCGAGAGGGTTTGGGGGGCTGGTCCGGTGCTCCTCCTGAATGTGCGCCTCTCCTTTCCTGCCATGGCAGGTGAACTGCCTGGAGCCCCATCCACACCTCCCAGTCCTGGCGACCAGCGGCCTGGACCATGACGTCAAGATCTGGGCCCCCACTGCGGAGAGCCCCACGCAGCTGGCCGGCCTGAAGGAGGTGAGGCTCCGGCTCAGGGTGCTGACACAGTGCCCCCGGCCTGCCCCCCCCCCCCCCGTGGCGTGAAGCGTCGCGCAGGGTGGCCCTTCCCCGAGCCTCCCGGGAGGGCTTGGGGCGCCTGGGGCGCCCGTGCGTGGAGGGCTGGGCCGGCGCTCACGGCGCTCCCCGCACTCTCCTGCCGCCCCCCAGCTGATGAAGAAGAACAAGCGGGAGCGGGACGAGGAGAGCCTGCATCACACCGATACGTACGAGAGCCACCTGCTCTGGTTCCTGATGCACCACTTCCGGCAGAGGCGGCGCCGCCGGGTACGTGTCCTGTGGGGCGGCCTGGGTTGGGGCTGTGGCGACCCGGGCGGGGGGTCGAGGTGGGGCTGCAGGACGGGGCCGACTCCCAGCATCCCCGGCCTCGCAGCCTCGGCGGGGCCACCGATCCCCTACCCTCGTGCCTGGAGCAGCCCCGTCCCCTCGGAATCCCGCTGCCCCGTCCTGCAGTGCGGGCCACCTCCCTCCCATGCACCCATTCCCAGAGCCAGTCTGCTGCTAGGCTGGCCCCCGTCCCTTCCTGGGCCTGATCCCTGCACTCGCGCCTCTTTTCCGTAGCGTCGAAGAGACCCGGGCACGGGCGCAACGGACAACGACTCGGACGATTCCTCGAGCTCCTCAGACACATCGGACGAAGATGAGGGCCCAGACCGGGTGCAGTGCATGCCTTCCTGAGAGGCCCCAGAGGTCGGGGGACGGGGGTGGGGGAGGGGTGCAGGCGTGGGGCGACGCGCCCACCCCTTCTGACTTCCACGTTTTTCGGCTTTTACTGACCTGCAAAGAAGAGCCCCCCCCCGCCTCCCCGCCTCCCCCAGCCCTCGTTAGCCGTCACTTGCCTGGGCGATCAGCTTGGCATAATTGCACTTGGACTTTTCCCGCTTTGGTGCCAGCCGAGGAGGCAGGAGGCGGGGCGCTGGCTGGAGTGGCGGGTGGCGCGGAGCCGCCGGCTGCCAGCACCGCCTCTTCTCTGCGGCCTCTGCGTGCGGGCCGGTGGAAGCAGAAGCCGAGGGGCCGCGAGGAGTCCGCCGCTTTCCCAGAGGCGCAGGGAGCTTGGGCGCCCCTGTCGCCTGTCCCCCGTGAAGCTTCTTTTGAGTGGGTTGAGTTAGTTTTTCCTCCCTTCCCTTGAGATGTTGGTGTGAGCCCGAAACAGCCTCTTGGTGGAGGCGTTGTGCTTTTCTCCCCTCCACCCCGGCACCCCCGAGGAGCACTGCTGCATGCTGCTTCCAAAGCGAGCCAACTTGGACTCAGCTTTTTGGATTAAGTTTGGGGCGGAGGGTTCACTCCCCTATTTGTCTTTCGTTTGTGTTTTTTTTCTTAGGCAGTTCTAGGCACAGAGAACCTCCTTTGCGATCTAGAAACTTTCTTTGCTGTCTAGAAGGCCCCTTTGCTGAGTTTCTTGGAGCATAAAGTTTAAAGAGTTTAAATGCAGAGGTCTGGGAACGGACAGCCCCTTCCCCCCTTTACCTAAAGTGGGGGCTTGTTGGCCCTCCAAACCAAGTGGCTGTAGGATCCAGTTCTTTGCCAGAAAGTTCTTCATTTTTTCTTCCTCCTAAGAATAATCTATTGTTTTCGAAAACAAATTTCCCCTCTTGCTGTTTAGAGGCCTAATTTTATATGTATTAAACAATACGAGAACCAAATTAAACTTGGATGTTATCAAGTTAAAATTATTGTAAAAGTTTAAATATATATATTATATAAATGCAATAAAGATTTGAGAGACAGAGAGTCTCAGTGGTATGTGAAACGGCTGCCCAGGACACGTTTCAGCTGCGTGATCTGGAACTGCAGTGCTGCAGAGGGGAGACCGTCCAGCCCCCGCGGCTGCACCGCTGCCCGTCTCTTGCGGGCGAGACTTCACACGCGTTTCCTGCAGCTTCGCTGTTCCTTGCTTCTGCTCAGCCCGACTGAACGTTTTGCTGTCCCAGCAGCGCCGTGCTGCGGCCCGTGCGCGCGCATCGCGGCCCTTGATCAAGCTAAGCAGCTGCAGCATCTCTTGGAAGGACTCTTCCAGAAGGTCCTCCGGCACCGGCCATTGCAAGCCCCTCGAGAGGCGGGGCCCTCTTTCAAGGCAGGCCGGAAAAGGACAGGCTGAGCATGAGCCCGGCCTGCTTCCACCAACCTCACTTAGCATCCAGCAGCCTAGTCCCAGATCTAAAGAGGCTCCCGACTGATGTCTGGTAAGCAGATGAATATATCCTATATCGGCGTGTGAAGTTCCGCGCTGTTGTCCCATTTTATTCTCAGAAGTCAGGTGTGGGGAATGTCTTGGCGCTCCGGGGCAGCAGCACAGCTCCTCAACCCCAGCCTCCTCTTCCTCGGGGCCAGGACTGCAGGCACTGCAGCACTCCTGCCTCATTTGGGGGCTGGGGGGGCGGACGGCAGTGGGGCCGGGGGACCGAGAGTCCATCCCTGCCTGGGCGCGGCAGAGGGAAGTCCGGCTCCGTCACCCGCAGGCGCGCGGAATCGCATGGCAAAGACCACAGGCACGCGTTGGGTGGGAATGCCTTCCGTTTTTATTTCCATTGTTAGCACAATGACGCTTCATAGTTCGGAGAGAAAAGGTGAGGGGAGCAAGTAAGCTAAGCGATTGTTCACTCTAAAAAAACAAACACAAGTATTTTCCAGCTATGACAAGTTTTGAGTAAAGTAACATTTAGAAAACACCTTGGTAGGAAATTCACTACTTCGAGGAGACGGTAGGGATGTCCGGTCAGTACGCGTGAGAGGAGGGCCGTGCGTGTCGCAGGAGAAGGGTCAGCCGGCCGCAGCACGGGACCCATGGGGGCCGGGGCCTGGGCCGGCCCGGTGCGTCCGCCCCACGTCCCGCTGCAGGGCACCCGCTCGGGGCAGTGGACCGGCCTAGGCAAAGTGGTCAAGGCCAGAACGGTAGCGGGCGCCTTGCGGCACGCGCGTGCAGGAACGGAGGGTCCGCGGGGCTGGGCCCCGTGGGGGAGCCGCGCTCAAGCCGCTCGACTCGCCGCCGTGGTTTCAACAGAACGCCGAGCCACGCGGTGCTGGGTTTGCCGCACGCGGGTGGCGGTCTGGTCAGCGCCTTTCCGGCCTTCCCCCACGGGCAGAGTCGTGTGCAGGGGTGCCGGCGCAGGGCCCGCCCGGGCGACGGGACGGTTTGGCGGAGGGATGCTGGCGGGCACAACGGGGCAGGACTGCGCTGCCGCGAGTCTGCGGTGGAGGGCGCAGCCCCCAGGAGGGGCGGTTGCTGAGGGCAGGGCGCCTGTGCAGCGCCAGCATGCGGGAGGCAAGCCCCCCCGGCTACAGCGCCACGGGCCGCTCTGGTTCTCGGGGGCTGGTTCAAGAGCAGAGCGGCCTCCCGCAAGCACCCCTGCTCGGTAGCAAGCACGGCGGTGACATGTCTCTGGGAAGCGGGGCGCAACTTTGCCCCCAGGGAGCGCGGGGAGGCTGTGCGGGTTGCAGACCTGGCGGCTTTAGCACGGCAGCTCCCCTTGGAGCCTCGCGACAACCTGGCAGGTTCGGTTCCGCCCAGTCTGCTGCCCGCGTGGCCGGGGGGGACGGGCCTCCCTTAGCAGGTCCTGCGGCCACCCGCGGTGAGGCCGGTCAGTCCCCACAGCCGGGCCCGCACCCTGTGCGTCGCGGACTCCAATCCCGTTCTGGAAATTTGCCTTGATTGAAAAGGCCGTTCGAGTGATAAGGAAATAGTGATACGGTTCCTGTTTGCTGTCTGTTGCTTTGTTATTTGGTCCACTTGACAAAAATAAATAAACACTAAACACAATATATTTAATATACATAAATTTATATTATATATGTACACACAGTTAGCACGGTCTGAGCATCACGGTAGAGGAACACTAAGGGGAGGAGAGAGCGCTGGCAGAAAAGGGCGAGAGTCGTGCCCGATTTTCACTCGTCAGGCTGCACTGGAGGCCCGGCCGCATCCTGTCCGGCTGCAGTGGGCTGAGGCTCACGCCTTCGAGCTTTGCCAGCCGCGCCTGATCGGGAGGGCTGCATGCGCTTGGAAAACCAGCGGGAGGAAATGGTGCGGGTCCCGTCTTAAATACTTGCCAAGTTCCAGGGCCTCCCTGTTCAGTTCAGTGTAAGGCATGAAGGCCTGGTGTGTGAACGTGGCAGGGGATCACGAAAGAAACGGACCATTTCTGGAGCCTGCCGGGGAGGCTGGAGCGGTTCTGTGGGCAGCGGCAACACCACTCAGCCGGCCTCCTTGGGCTCAGTTTGGGGGGCTCCCGTTTGTCTCCGTCCTGGAGGTGTTTCAAGGGTCTCACGTCACACGCAAGGTGGCCAGCCCTTGGGCAAGACGTTTAGCATTTGTGTGACGATGCGTTTTTCAAATGTGGCTCACGGATGGGTTTGGTTCGGGCAGCCCGAGCTCCGGTGTTCGTCGCGGGCCTGGCGCTGGGAGGGGAGGCCTCCCGGGCGAGAGCGCCCAAGCCCCGTGGGGGATGCTGGGGCTTGCCAGGCCACGGAATGGGTGCACCCGCTTGTGGGGCCGGGCACAGACCAGCCGGCCAGCGCAAGCCAGGGATGGACGAGAGGGAGAGAGATGGCGCGTCACGCGGGCCGTGCTGCGACGGAGCGACCCCGATGGGGCCCTCTCCTGGTGGGGGGGGGAGGCAGGGTGGCCCTCCCGCCGAGGGGCACACAGCCCCAGCCCTTTCTCAGCCCCAGCGAGGGACGGCAGGGCACGGCGGCTGCTGCGAGGCACGTCCCCTCCTGCAGCTGTTGGGGTTTTTCTTCCTTTGCATGTTTACGTATTTATTTATTGGGGCGGGGGGGGAGATGGTAGAGATCAGGGAAAGCACAGAAAGGCTGCAAAGGGAATCATAGGCATTTGGGCCCCCCTCCCCCCGCCAGGAGGCAGGCAACCACACAGGAAAGGAGAGCGGCCACGAGCAACAAGGCGAGCGTTGCCGGTGCACAGCGATTTGAGGCGGCGCTCCGCCAGCTGCTTTGTTCCTGGTTTTGTTTTGAGCTGTTTGCTCACTTTGGATTCTGGCCTTTTTCTCCTGGTGACGCTATTTTTACCCCATGCCAATTTGCTAATTTGCAGTGACATCAACACCAACTGTTCAGTTATGATCATCCAGCGAGAAAAAGGCTGATCCGGGGCCGTGGTGATGCGCCACGAGGCGGCGCAACCCTTGTGCCCGTGCGGGCTTCGGGCAGTCGCGACCCCTGCGCCACGGGGCGAGCGGCGAACCCGCGGGGGCTGCCTCTGCGGTGGCACACAGACCTGCAGTGAGAAAACAGGCCCCTTCAAGTGCACCAGTTGGCGGCACCGATCCGTGGCTCGTGTGGTCGCCCTGCGGCCCAAATCCGCCCGGCCTCCTGGGAGCAAGGCCCTCTGTGGGCACTTGGCTGTTGGAGGACGTGGCTTTTCCTGCGGGGAGAAGCCTCTTTCCCGATGCAAGGTCTACACTTCCAGGAAGGGCAGCATCGCCCCTTCCGCTTCCCGAAACTTTCGCGGCACTCCCTGAGGCCTCGGACTGGCACGGCAGTGCCACGGCCTGCCGGGCCCTCCTCAAGTCCCCTCGCGCCCGCTCCGCTTCTTCTGCAACCGCTTGCCTGCCAGTGGCCCCAGAGCCCTCGCAGTTGCCCCCGTGCTTTCGCTTGTTAGGTTGCGCCAAAGAAAGATCTGCCCCCGCAGTCTGGGGTCTCACGGTTGGGGTGCCTCGACCGGGCGGGCTGCGCGCTGTCCAAACAGAGCCGCTTGCACCTGGTGGAGGGTCCTGCATCTTGCCCCCTGGCGGCCCACTGCTCCCCCCGTCTCCCACTGGGGGGTGCTGGCCCGGCCCAAGAGGCGCGTTGCCCTGGCTAGAAGAACCGGCGGCACCCCCCTCCCCCTCCCCCTCCCCCTCCCCGCCCTCAAGCCTCAGTGCACAGGCTGGCCCCTCGCGTGTGTGCTCGGCCTCAGGAGGGGGCTGCCAAGGGTCTTCCCCCTCGCCTTTCTGCACACCGAGGGGCACAGAGGTGCCGCCAGGTACCCACGCACGGAAAGGGCCACGCCACCTGTGCCCGGGCTGCTTGAGAGGAGCCGCAGGTGAGCGGGGCGGCCGGGAACAGAGCCCAGCGCCGGGTCAGCAACACCAAGGAGCACGGCCCTGCTGCGGGGGGGGGGGGGGGGGGGGGGGAAAAACCCCCGGGGGCGGGGCAAGCACCCCGGGGGCGGGGCCCGGGGGGGGGGGGGGGGGGGCGGGGGGGCTGACAAACCACGAGGCACAGTACAGGTTAGAGCAGAAATTAATTAAATAGAAAATATATTAGACTTTTTCAGGCAGTCCGATGCAACAGAAGAGAGTCCCACCGCGGTTGTTTTCTAAGCTAGAAGCGTTCCCCTCCCCGCCGCTCCCTCCCACTCTTGCTCCCCCCAAGACGGACGACGACGATGTGTGGTGGGGGCTGCGTGGGAGGCATGCCTGGCAGCGGAGCCACCGCTCAGCACCACCCCCCCACTGCCGTTCTGGGACAGGAAGCATGCTGGATCCATCCGTGCTGGTCGGCCTCCGTGAACTTAGCTGGGACGACGACGCACGTGTCCCTCCCCCCTGCCGGCTTTTTATTCCAGCCAGCTGCAGCTCACAGAGACGGGGGGGGGGGCAGGGCTGCAGGGGCCACAGGCACCCCCCCGAGTGAGTGGAGGGGCTTCGGAGGCTCCCGCGGCCGTCCTCTGACATTGTGTGGCGTCTGGCCATCGAGGCCGCAGTCCCGGCACGCACAGGATGGGCACGTGCGGACAGCCCAACACGCCACGCGGCTGCGCTTTGCACATGCCCAGGCTGCGGTGTCTCTGGGACCGGAGGACCAGGCCGGGAACTCGGAGTTCGCAGGAGTGAGGAGCCCGTCTGGAGCGCGACCGGGGACCGCGAAGCCCCCTCGGCATGGGAGAGGCGGATGGCGGTGGGCTCCTGAGGGTAGGCAGCAGGGGCCGGGCGGGGGGCTCCCTTGCCCACGACCCCGCAGCAGGCCCCGCGGCCCGGATGGAGGGGCAGAGCCCCGGGCGCCTCCAGCCGTCTGCGCAGGAGCCACAGATGCCTTCTCCCAGCAGAAGCACCGACTGCAGGAGAGCGGGGGGAGCGGCCCCCGAGGCAACTTGGGCAAACCCGGCCAGCGGCTCTGCTCAGCACCGAGGCTGCGCCCGCATGGGGGTGCCGGGGGCAGAAGCGACGGGGGGGCGAGGGGAGGGGAGGGGAGGGGGGCCCTTCTCTGACCGCAGCAGCAAAGAAGGCCCCCCGGAGCGAGTCCAAGGAGAGGCACAAGGACAGCCGACACACGGAAAGGCACGAAGTGACCTGGGGGGGTCTTGGTGTGCATGCGTGGGTGCCCCACAGCCGCCTCCCCGCTCTGCTCTTCCATCCCGGTGTTCAGGGGCCAGGCCTTCGGGGAGGGGGCACCCCCTGTCCCAGCCGCGGTGGTTGCGAGCCTTGATCCCAGCACTCCCCCGAAGGACGGGCCCCCAGCCCCTGCCCTCCACGCTGCCCCCTTCGCCTCAGCCGCGCTCCCCGCTTGGTGCACTGCCTCTCCCCGGCCCTCGCCTGCCCCAGGCCCCCCAGGGAGGAGCCCCGCCACCCCTCTGCCCCGTCCCCAGCCGGCTCCCCCGCCTCTGCCTGGCCGGCTTTGCCAAACCAGAACGGCACTCGGGGGCTGCCGGCGCCGGGAGTGCTACCTCCCAGCTGGGGAAGCGCCAGCCCCAAATGCCCTCGTTCCGAGGGGCTGGCACAGGGGCCGGAGCACGTGGGGGCGGGTGAGGCCTCACGGCTGCTGTTCGGGCCTCATAGCAAGAGGAGCGGGCCGGGGGAGTGCGGGGAGGGTGTGGCGGGGGGCGGCGGAGCCCAGGGGCCTCCCACCCCACACTGCAGCCTGCGCCTCGCCGTGCTCCCCTGCTCCGGCCACAGGGCGTGAGCGCGCAGATCCTTGGCTGTGGTGGCCCCGCGGTGGGAAGCTGCCCTCTCGGGCACCTGGGCTGAGAACAGCAGCCGCCCCGCTCACTTGCCCGCCCTGCCCTGCCCTGCCCTGCCCTGCTCTGCAGCGCCCTTGCTCACTCCCACAGGCCCCGTTCCCCGAATTCTTGACTTCCCCATAGCATTCCCCTGTAATCCGAAGCCTTCACGCCCTTCCCAGCCCCGGATCCTGACGGAAGCAGCCCGGTGGCGGTGCCTCCTCCTCCTCCTCCTCCTCCTCGACCTGCCCTCGCCTCCCTCTTCCACGTCCACTGCCCTCCCTCCCCACTCCCTGAACAGATCACGGCTCTGACGCTGGGTGCTCGCTCGGCTGGGGGCAGCCGCCTCTCCAGGGGGCTGGCAAGCCCCCCACACGTGTCCCACGAGTCCCCAAGGGGGTGCTGCATCCGTGGCGGCCGAGGGGGCGGAACATGTGTGGGGACAGTGGGGTGGCAGCCGGGCCGGGACTGAGGCGCTGCACGTGGCCCAGGCTGCCCCCCCCACAAGACAGGAAAGAGGAACAGCTACGGGGGGGGGGGGGGAAGCAGGGGTGGGGGGCAGTGGTGGCTGTCCTTGGACCTGAGCCCTTCTCCTCCTCCTCCGCCTCCTCCTTTTCCTCCCTACTTTAAGCTTTTTTGGGTGGCGGTGCCAGCTTGATGATCTCTTCTTCAGAGGGCTGCCGGATTATGTCTGTGGGGGAAAGAGAAGGGAGGAAAGGTCAGTCTCACCTCGCTGGGTCAGAGCAAGGATGGGCCCTTTCATCCAGCCCCCCGTTCCCCAAAGCGGCCCACCAAAGGCCCCACAGGAAGCCCACCAGCAGCCCCCTCGCTGTCTCCGGCTCTCTGGAGAACAGCATTTTCAGGTAGGCTGCCTCTGAACATGGAAGCTCCGTTTACCCATCGTGGCCGAGAGCCCCGGACCGACCTCTAGTCATCCCCTTTCAAGCCAGTAGCTGGGCCCACGCACCACAGCCGGCTGCCCCAGGGGCCCCCAAGCAAGGGACCGACCTTTGTACTTCTTGGCGCTGGGGATGCGTGTCAGCTTGGTGTCCACGTCGTCCTCCTCGGAGATCTTCAGCACTTGGGTGCGGTACTCGACCACCATGGTGAGCAAGTCGGGGCGGCGCGAGATCTCGAAGATGTGCTCGATGTAGGAGAGGTTGTCTGCAGGGAGAGCCCCGGGTCGGAGGTCAGAGGATGCCCAGGCGGAGCAGGGGCCGGGCGGGCGAGCCCCACTGGGACGCGGGGTCCGGCCCCCCACGGCCCCTCCTGTGTCCGTCCCCTGCTTGAGGACCGGTGGCTTGGGCTGCCCGCTCGCCTCCGCGCTGGCGAGGCCCGGCAACCTCGTGGATGTGTGTGTGTGTGTGTGTGTGTGCGTGCGGGTGGGCGGGTGTGCGAGTGAGCAAGGGGCCTGCTGCAGCCCTCGGTGTGACGGATGACTGTGAGCCTCTGGAGGCATGTGACTGCGTGCGTGGGCGTCGTGTGCCTGTGAGCCGCTCGCTCGGCATGGCACCGCTGCGTGGGCGGCCTCTCCGTGCAGAGGTAGAAGCGCCTGTGTGTCGGAGGAGGAGGAGGAGGAGAGGCAGCCGGCAGCCGGTCGCCCTGCCCGAGGAAACCGCTTTCCTTCCAGAAAGCACGTGACATCATCCGGCCCCACGGAGCCATCTGTGGCGCCCCTCCCGGCAGGGGAAGCTGGGGGTCGCGGGCACACGCTGGGGCTCAAGCGCCTAGCGGGCCGCGGGGTCTGCAGGCCGGGAGGCGGGGGCCCTGCTGCTGGACCGCGGCCGTGAGCGTCCCACGATGCCCCTGGAGCTGTCAAGCCAGGCAGGCCACCTGCTCCCCCCAGCCCGGCCTGCCAGCTCTGAGTCACGCCACCTCACCTCCCTTCCCGCCTTCCGGAGGAGCAGAGGCGCGGAGGGGCCGGGCCGGCTGGGTGCTCGCCCGGAGGCACGGGGGGCGTGCGGCCCCTCCAGCGGCGCCGGCAGCCCCTTCCTGCCGGCCAGGCGAGCGCTCCTTGTGCCCCGGTGATCCCGAGGGAGAAGCCCCCCTGCGGCACGGAGGCCGCGGCCTGCGCAGCGCCACCCCTGCTGCGCCCACCCTCCACAGAGGTGGCGGGACCGGCCCCACGGACCGGCGGCGACGCGCTGGCCTGCCCGGCACGGGTTCTGCGGCCGTGTCAAAGGCAGGCCGCCAGACCCCCGCGGAGTCCTGGTCTGGGCTCGGGCCGGCCGAACGACCCGCCGCATGAGCGACCGGGCTCCCGCGTGGTGCAGGGCCCTTCCCACGTGTCCCTCGAGAGGGCGGTGACGGAGCCATGCCGGGGCAGCGAGCAGGGAAGGACTGCTCCTCTGCCTCCGGCCACGCAGCGCTTGGGAGTGCGGGGGGGGGGGGGGGGGCCAGGGGGGGGGGGGGGGGGGGGAGGGCCTGCCCCCCCCCCCCCCGCCCCGCGGGGCTTGGGGGGGGGGGGGGGGGGGGGCGCCTGCGTGGGGCCGGACAGGCATGACCGCCGAGCCTCCCACCTTTGTCTAACTTCTTGTGCTTCTCTAGAAAGCTGAACCAGTCTTTGCTGGTGGCGATCTCCTCGTGCTTCTTGCTGGGGATGTCCTCTTTGCACGCTGACTTCAGCTGGTCCAGGTCTTCGTTGGTGATGCTCTCGGCGAGCTTGTCCAGCAGGCTGCTGTACTCGGCCATCTCTGCGCGAGAGGGAGACGGCAGCAGTCAGGGGGGCAAGGAAATGGGGTCCTGGGGTGGCGCCCCACAGAACGTTGCCCTGCCACAGCCATGTCCAGCCTGGCGCCCTCTGTATGCGCTGGACTGGGGCACCCGTCCACCAACCGCGGAACTGGCCTTTCGGGCCCAGACTGGGGCATTCCAGCTGCACGGGAGAGCGGGGGCAACTTTGCTTGGACGGCCCCCACACAACCCCATCTGTCCATGGGGCCAGGGCAACGGCCCTGCAGAGCTTTGCCGGAGCCTCCCCTTCATCGGGTGCCAAATCCACTCCGCGGCAGAGCTTTCTTTGGGGGATTGCTTGCTGGGAAGAGGGGACCTTGCTGGGCAATCGCTCCCCTGTGTTTGGGCAAGGCACCCCTCAAAGTCTGGGCACAGCCAAGCAGAGCTGGCAGGTGAGAGGTGGGAGGGGGGGAGTGAGGGGCCGAACTCTTGTCTGGGATCCACTGTGGGGCAGGGGGTCGCGTGTCTTCCAGCGGTGCCCACTCTTGCCTCATGTTACCCTGCACTTTTATCTTTATGCATAAATCCAACACTGCAAAGACCTCTCCATCCTGCAGTGTGTGCTCTCTCTCGCTCGCTCTGTCTCGCTCAAGGACAACCAGCCACAGCTTCACCGCTGCCTGGAGCCGCTACCCGCTTGAGGGTGGGCGAGGCATGCAAGAACACGCTAACCGAGTGAATGCCAGCTTCCCTCAGAAACAAGCCAGCTTCCCTCGGAAAGGGCCCCGCTGTGAGATACAAGCTCCGAGCCCTTCCAGGGCGGAGCTGGATTCACAAAGCGCCGTGAAGGGTCTGCTACCTAAACGGGCACGTGTGCCATGGGAAAGGTCCCTCTCGGAGCAGTGCTGTTTCAAGGGCCTTGGAGAGACACGTGAGCCCCCAGACACGGCACAGGTTTGCCCCCCTGGGGGGCCTCCAGCACTGGCTGCCACTGGGCATTCGCTCTTTCCTCCTCAGCCATGTTTCGGGGGGAAGGAAACACAACAGAAGAGGTGGGTCACAAGGCAAGAGAAGAACGGCGCGAGGCAGCCTGGCGGAGCATCGCTTGCTCTCTGGGAGCGCCCTGAGCCCCTCTGCAGCCCTGAGGGAGAGCAGAGCCCCCTTGTGCCCCCCGCAAATGAAGCACGGAGCATCCCACGGACGGCCGGACGGCCACTGGCAAGATGTGCAAAATGCCACACGAGCAGGCGGCCTTTATTGACAGTGAAGGTGCTGCCGGGCACACACACCTGCTGCTGAGGGAGGAAAACCCGATGGACGGCAGACGCGTTCACATGGGCACGAATTATGGGGTGGCACCCTCCAGCAACTTGAAGGCTCTGAATCAGCTGGGGGGATGGCCCATCCTCTATTCCCAGCATGGGCAGAGCAGGGCTGGGGGACCGGTGGTTTCATTTAAATGTGCCCCCCCCCGCTGTGCTTTGGGGTGTTTCGCATTTAATCAACAGAGGCTACAATGGCTGCTTGGAGCATCCAGGCCTTTGTTCTCCTGTCGCTGCTATAGAAAAGTTCTTCTGCATCCATACTGAAGTGCGGGCAGCGAGCGGGCAGGCAGGCAGGCAGGCAAACGCAAGAGCCTTCGCAGCTTGTTTACGTAGATAGTTTGGCGATGGAGATTAGAGTTTTTCCACTGAAAAATGAGGGCCCGGGAAATATACTTCCCAGACAGAAACATCACCCTGCTTTGCAGAGCTTTCTAGAATCCCTGACATAACTAGGACAATGTGTATTTGGGCTCGTCTGAGGATAATGGGTTGAAAAGAGGAGGGGGCAGGAACGGTGATATTGTACCGGCACCTGCTCTCTGCTTGTCTTCAGCAGCAACGCAGGGTGTGTGGGAAGGGTGTGACTAACTTCCAGGAGCCGGTGCTAGGCCAGGTGTGCCGGCAGCCGTCCGTGGCATTCCTGCAACCGGCGTTTGAGGCAGGGTGGGCTCTTCCAAGCGCCCCCTTGCTCTCTCGGGCCGAGTCCCTGGCTTCGTCTGTGCCACCGCAAGCAGGTACTAAAGGGAGCTGAGGAAAGTGGACAGGAAAACGGACCTCCGTCCCCAAACAGCTGCTGCTGCGGGTCTCCCACTCTCCAAGTGCCCCTTCCCTGTCCTGCAAGGGTTTGGCTTCTGGACAGGCAGAGGCCGAACACCAGCAGGGGCCCTGCAGGGCAGGAACGGCTCGCTTCAGAGCAGGGCGTAGTTTTCACGAGGAACAAAAAAGAGCTGCGCATTCAGTGCTCTGTGTTTTCCGCATCCAAGGAGAGGCTATTCTCTGTGAAGGTCTGAGTCCTGGCACGGCATTGGTTCATGCCTCCTGTGTGGGGCTGCGGGATGCGCCCACATCTTTATTTTTCCAGGAGGGCAAACGGTCCCCTCTTCGCCCACAGAGGACCAAGTGGTGGCTTCGTTCTCACTGCTGGTGTGGGAGCTGGTTAATTCTGCACCAATCTGGTGATTAATTATCCAGGGATTTGGGGGACATGACAGCTGGATTTCCAGACAGCGTTTGCCAGATTAGGAGAGGAGCTCCCAATCCCCCGATCGATGGATGTTGGCTGGTTATTAACGAACATTTGCAGGTCACTGCTGTTGTTAAGACTCTTAGAAATACTCTGGTTTTGAGGGTGGGGAGGGATCTGGAGTGGCTGAGAAGGCAGGTTCTTGCGCCCGGGGGGCCACACTGCTCCTGAAGGCAGGGAGGGGAACAAGCACATGCCGGGCTCTCACTGGAGCACCGGCAGCCTCGCCCGGTGAGGGAATAACGGCACATCCCAAGTTATCGCATCCGAAAACATCGCCACATCACACTTGTGCGCACAAACGAAACACCGTGGGAGATCATCACACCCTTAGGAACACCAAGACGTGTGCACACATGCGAGGCCCTGTGATGCACTCCTTGGGCGGATGCCGGAGCGGTCGCTGTGTGCTCCAGGCCGCTGAGGGAAGGGGGCACAGGACGCCGGATGCGCATCAGGGCATGTCTCACACCCGCAGCAGCCGCGGTGGGCAGCTCCGGGGCCCAGGCTCCGCACAGTAAGGCGACACAGCAGCTTGCCAATGTTCTCCAGAGCCTTCCCGAGCGGGCAGCAGACGTCTCGCGCGTGCAATGACCTCTCCCTGGCATTCGATGGCAGCCCTTGCCGCTAGCGCACACCTGCTCTGGAGCCAACGCAGCGGCTGCCCCTCCGTTCCCCCAGCCCCCCACCTGCAGTGGCAGCTCCCTGCAGTCCGGCTGAAGCGGCGCCTGCCCTGCCCTGTTGCCCAGGGATGCCACCGGCTCCTTCTACAAGCTGGCCAGGACACGTCCGCCACTGGGCCACGCCGCTCTCCTGCCCCTCCGTGTCTTGGGGGCCTGCTCCCACGGTTGTGCAGAGGGCCCGGGACAGGGCGGTTCTTGGGCTTCACTGCGCCCCCGCCACACACGCAGGCACCGAATGCATATCAGCTTCACGCGCTTCTCTGGCATGTGTGTGGGTGCCACTCCAAGGCGAGGGCTGGCTGAACTTGCTCACGGCTCCGCTCTCCCACGGCAACCCGGCTGCTTCAGAGGGGGCCTCAAGGCAGCCCCCCGCCCCGCCGCGCGTCTCTGGCCACCCACCATGCTTCTCAGCTCCAGCCCTCCAGAGGCACCTCCCGCCTGCCTTGGCATCGCGCAACCAGCCATTCGCAAAGGGCAGACCTGCCCCCATCCCTCGGCCCTGAACCCCCTCGCTCATCCTTGGCCACGTCTGTTGGGTGGCGAACTGCAGACGGCCCGGAGCTCATGGCCGGGGAGGCGGAAGGAGACTCTGTCCTCCTGGGGATGGGCATGGGACCCCAAAGGATCCTTTTCCTGGGAGCCTGGTCTCTCCTTGCCTTCTTCCGCTGCAGAAAACCAGACCACCTCCTCCTCCACCTCCTGCCGCTCTCCAGCGGCTCTCTCCCACCACCCACCCTGTCCTGTTTTGGTATTCTCGTTGCTTCCCTAGGAAGAGGAAATTCCTGTTCTTTTCATTTCAGGCAAAACCCTTCCCAGATGGCTGCCCTTCCTGAAACAATGAATCACGGAGGGGGGGGGGGCGGTGCTGGCTGCAGCCCATTCAGGCACTCTGGCCACCCTTCCCCATCGCCCTCCACGCCGCTTGTTTATTTCTGCCCCGTAGTGCACTCAGTATTCTGGGTAGCGCCCAGCAGGCCAGTAGCCCCCCACTGCCCCCCGCTCCTTTCTCTGCCTGTCCACCACCATCACTCACCGCCCCCTCCGGCCCTGCCTGCTTCCTCCCGGGGTCGGGGGGCTGCCTCTGTGCTCGCGCGTTCACGCCTTGCATGCCAGCGCCTTTGTGCGCCCTCTTCCCTCCTCTTTGTGGCACGAGCATTCAGCACGGGGCCCGCACTGGGCCCGCGGCCCGTTTCCCAGGCCTGTGAGGCAGCCTGACGTGGAAAGGGGCACCGGAGCGGAAACGGGTGGCCATGGGCAAGGCCTGGGGTTGCCAGCGTATGCGCCAAGGAGCTGTGGCGGGCATCTTTTCCTTGCATGCAGATAAGCACCAGCAGGGGCCGGAGCGAGCCCCGGGGGACGGCCAGGGCAAGGCCTGTGGGTTCTCGAGCCAGGAGGGAAGAGACTGGGAGGGCTTGCTTTTCAAGATCAATGCCTGATAGGCGAGGGGCTCCCTAGACGCCACTCAGTCGTGCAGGGTGGGAGCGCACAGCCCCGGGAGGGTCTCCAAGGTGCGGGGAGCGGCATGGCATGTGCTGGGCAACAGACTGGGAGGAATGAGGCGGCCTGGGGCTCGCCTGCAGAGGGCTGCGCACCGGGAACGCGCCACGTGGCACCGGCCCGATCGGTCCGCGGGGAAGGCGGGCAAGACCGCGCCCGCCGG